TATATATAAAATATATATATAAATAATATATATATAAATATATATATATAAATGTATATATATAAATATATATATACAAATAATATAATATATATATTATATATATATTATATATATATATATATATATATATATATATTTATTATATATATTTATATATATATATATATAATATATATTTATACAATATATATAAAATATATATTATATATATAAAATATATATATATATATAATATATATATTTATATATATAATATATATATATATTATTTATATAATATATATATATATATATATATATTATATATTATATGTTTTACATATATATATATTATATATATATATATATATATAATATATATATATATTATATATAATATATATTATATAATAATATATTATTATTAATATATATATATATAATATATATAATATATTATATATATATAATATCATATATAAATAATATTTATATAAATATATATATATATTTATATATATATTATATATAAATAAAATATATATATAAACATATATATTTATATATATAATATAAATATATATAAAATATATATATTATATATATATATATTATATATATATATTATTAATATATATATAATATATATACAATATATATATATAAATATATATATAATATATAAATAATATATATATAAATGTATAATATTATATATAATATATATATAATATATATATAACATAAATATATATATATAATATAAATAATATATATATAAAATATGTATATATATAAGGTATAATAATAATATATACATATATATATATAATAATATATATATATATATATATATACTTATTATTATATATATATACTTATATAAATATATAAATATATACATATATAAATATATTCAAACATATATATAATATCATCAAATATGGTCAAACTTTCATATTTGAAGTTAATTACATCTTACTTAAAAATCAAACAACAAGATGTTTCATGTGACCATCTTAACACTATATTAGAGATTTAACCTACCACTGTCTGGGCAGAATTATGCTTTTTCACTAAAGCCCACACAAAGACTGCCAAATTCATCATTGGGGTTTGAGATAGATCACTCCAAGTTATAATACACCAAAACAGCCCCTGTGTTAATGGTCCACTTCTCTTCTCTTGAATGCCAGTCAATCCCTGTAATAAAGTAACCTCCAAGGAATAACTGTCTTGTAAGTGTGCATGCTCATTAGTACAATTAATTTGACACTGATTTACATTATGAATGCTAACAACGTGTAGAATAACTGTCTAGAATTCTCAGACCACAATTTAAAATATCTAGATTATTCTACAATAAAAAAAAAAAACTTTCCTTTCAATACGTTTCTTCATGTTCACACATATGCAAACAGGTTTAGCTTTTTTATCTAATTAATACTGTTGTTATGATGTACCCTATGGAAATTTGGATATATGTTAAAACTATTTAGAAGATTAATAAATGGCAAATCTGGCCTTAAATTAATTTATCTTGCCTACCTCCTTATAAAAGAAAAAAGGAAAAAAAAGGTCATATATCATCTTATTCTGTATCTCACAATTGTTACAAACCTTTATATGTGAAAGTACATCCTGTAGTAACACAGAAGATAACTGTTCTGCTTCCTGCTTGACAAGAGGATCCCCCCCATAGAGGGTGTCATTGCCCTCCACTGTTGAAGAATATAAAAGATGGTATAAATGCAAAAATTCCGCTATATATATTCATGTGATTAAGAGCCCCCTTTTCAGGCAACAAGTAATGCTAGGGATTGATCATGTGAGAACCCTGCACTAATTCAATATGCACTGAAATAAGTGCATATTGAATTAGGAAAAAAGTGTTCTTCCCTTCAAGTCTCATACTATTACCTCTATGCATATAAAAATATGTGAACTAGATCACCATCACCATGCACATATAGGAACACTGACAATGAAAAGCATACAAAAGTAAATAGACATAACATTTACAGCAGTTATATTATATTCTCTATCTTTGGTACAATTTTTTTTTCTTTTTCTCTTAATGCCTGCCCTCAATATGGTTGTAAAAGCAAAAACCCATTTAAACAATAAAATCTTTATACTATATATGTATGACAATACTAGTCTGACTCTAATAACTATTCTGAACCCAACAATGACTGGCATCTTACTGGTGAGACGGATAGAAAATGGACAGTAGCCAACTGTGTTCTTGGTTTATGCTCTGAATGGGTCCCCTACTGCATGTGCCTAATGTTTTTCTTTCTCGAAGTACCAATGGGTTAATCATTATCACAATCAACAAATACTCCATTCAGGGTGCAGTAACAGTAAAATTCTCATTGTACTCACCAGAATGTACGTGGTAGGGCAAGACATCTTGAGCTGCAGCAGATAAAGCATGAAGCAATGAAATTGACATCATTGCTTGAAGATCAGTATCTTTAGGCCAAGAATATGTTCTGACTGCATTTGTAAGGCCTCGCAGGAGATAGAGTGGGGGTGACACATCAGGAGGATCAGGTGTAGCAATTAAGGCTGAGGCTAGATTTGCAACAATTGGGCAAAGAATCTCGCCACTTTGACTAAATGTGATAGTTTCTTGTGTGCCAGCTACTTCCAGCACTTCCCTAATTGCTGCCTTCATGCATGCATCTCCTGAAATAATATTATAATAATCTGCTTATTCAGCACATGTCAGTTGCTCATCTAAATAGTATTAATTAAAGATTTTGTATAACGTGTATGATTTCTAATGACATTTACCTTGTCCTAAACAGTTGTTTAAGAGTGCAACACTCCCTGAAAGAAGATATAGTCGAAGGCGAGTCACAGGTGAAGCAAGAGATGGAACTGTAATAAAGCAGTAAGCTGAACAAGCTCTCACAAATGCTGCAGTCTTGCCTGTGTGCATGCCTCGGATCTTTCCCCATGTTGCCATGGCTAACTGACACACACACTGAAATAATTCCATTAATATCATTATACTTAATGATGTATTTCATCACCTAATGCATATAGTTTATAGAAAAATTTCATAATCATAAAAGCATTATGCATCAGAACCATCAAACTTTTATCCTTTACCTGCACTAGGGAGACAAGTACTGAATCCAGATTAGAGAAAGCTGCTCTGGCATTGACATAAAAATCTAACTGTTGCTCAAAGTCATTTCCAAAATTAACTTGATGAATAAAGGAGGTGATCAACAGCGATAACTGACGTTTTTCATCATCTGTTGTAAGTGCACTGGAAAGAAGTAGGAAACAATTAGCACTTATATCTTGCAAGTATGCCTTTTCAGAATATCAATATGATTTTTCAATTAATTTTTTAAAATAAAAGAGGTAAGAAAAATATATATCAATCATACAATATGGCAATACTGGGTGACTTTTACTGCTACATTCCCAATAAGAAAAGTGCGTATGCAGAGCAAATATTGTACAGGTTTTCCTTTGGCAATTGATTGTTGACTGGATTTTCTTTATAACAGTAATAATAGTATCAGTAATAATATAATAATAATTATAATAATGATATTGATAATAATAATGATGATACTACTACTACTACTACTACTACTTCTACTACTACTACTACTACTACTACTACTACTACTACTACTACTACACTATACTACTACTACTACACTACTACTACTACTACTACTACTACTACTACTACTACTACTACTACTACTACTACTACTACTACTACTACTACTACTACTACTACTACTACTACTACTACTACTACTACTACTACTACTACTACTACTACTACTACTACTACTACTACTACTACTACTACTACTACTACTACTACTACTACTACTAATAATAATAATAATAATAATAATAATAATGACAATAATAACAGTAATAAAAATAATGATGACAATAATAAATAATAATAAAAATGATAACAAAAAAGAGAGAGAGGAAAAAAACTAAAACAAAGGGTGGTAATTTCTCAATTACAATTTCATTAATTTTAATGGTACTTGAACATATAAAGAGAGGAGAAAATTTATGTTTATTCAATTTTAAAAGATTCATTTACTAGAATCAATACAACATAATATATTCTATAACATTCTATACTGAATTAATCTTGATAAAAAAAAAAAAACATGAAAGTGAGAGCCTAAAATAAGTGGGGAAAAGAAATGGTCTAAGCCTCAGGGCCCCCTCAGGGGTACTGGCTAGGCAATTAACCAAGGAAATACCAAGCCCATGGCTACTGGAAGCCTTTCATGTGTGACATAAAGCCATCCTTTCATCCCTTTAGTATAGCTCTCACACCTTAGGAAATAGACAAATGAAGGGGATGAAGAGAAGGATAAGGCAAGGGGGAAAAGACCATGCAAAATTAGTGAAGGTGATGGCTGAAGTCCCTGGGTAGGAGGTGATCCCCTACATTGGGCCTTAGTCTCCATCTCTTAAGCCCCCCAGAGCAACAAGTAAGGGATTAGGCGGTTAGAGATTATAAGAAACTTACTTAATTGAATCATGTAAAGCACCACAGAATGTGAGGAGATGCTGTACTAGAGTTGGGTCAGTGAAATCCCCTGGGTGGTGAGCTAAGAGAGCCTCAACTACCCCACGAGTTACTCCATCTCCTGTGCTTACACTGTCCCTTTGGAAAACACTCAGCAATCCCTGGAAGTGATTCTGAAAAGTAATATGAATATCAGTGATAACAATATCAAATATTTGGTATCAAATACAATTCATACTCAGTCTAAAATGATAACGATTATATACTAGGATAAAAAATGTATTTCCTACACTCTCCAATGTCAAATTAGCAAAGATGTAGTTAATTTTAGCTTGTTTTGTACATTTCTTTTTTAGACATAGATGGCTCTACAAGTGCTTAGCCACCAAGGAGTAGTATCTTTGTAATTGCATACTAAAACACAATGGACATTTTTTGTATTTACATGCCATCCCAGCATCAGTTGGTTAAACATTACCAATTATTTTTTTAAAGCATAAAATAGTTTCCTTAAAATTGGATTTTCTCAACCCCTTGGATTTGGGTGTTCAATGCCTGCATTAGTGGCCACTCTCAGCTTGTAGGTCAGGGACACACTAACACTTATGTGCGGTATCACGACTCCTTGCCTCCCCTTTGTAATATTATATATTTTTTCTGCAAAACCATTTTTTGCTTTTTTGCCATCTTCAAATGACCATATCTGTCAATTAACATGCTGAATCTAGATGGTAATAGACTGTTTTCTTTGCATACACTTCATATCATCTCCATATACAGTACATCACTAAGTGCAATAATAATCAAAATAAACAACATTTTGTTATTTGTCTTATTTTTTGTAATATTTTATTTTCTGTAATACAACCTGAACTATCGGTCACAGTGGGCAGGAATAGGATTCTGATCCAGGGCCCTTTCAGTCATGGCTCACAGACAGTACAAGTCATACTCATTTACCGATAATAATAATGCAAGAGACCCTTCCTCAATGCCCACTGAGTCTAATCACCCTCCAAGAGCTTTGTGCACTTGTGAATCTTTCCCATCACCCATGCCTTAAAACAAAATCTTCATGACAGCATTTTTCTGTTACTCCAGCCCTCAGACAAAAATTTCCCATGATGACATGTTCAAGTTACCTGCAGTCAGTAGAATTTTTCATAATGTGATAGTCCAAGGGGTTAGAAAATGCTTGTTTGTGGGTATAGGAGCTACATTCTACTAGGGGTTACCTTCTATGAGGGGTTAGAGTATTAATAATATAAAATAAATAGATATACAAACCATGGTGAAGAGAGTTTGAGCATCAGGAGAATTAGTTAAGGCTGTTGACACCAGTGCCAGCAGAGCTGGGTAATGCACCTGTTCATGGGATTGGTCGCATCCAACATGTTTCAACACATCTCCAAGTAATGTGTTCACTTCTACTGC